GCCGTAATCTCCTTGAAGTTGGGATCGCAATATGGCGACCGCATATACTGGGAATGCTACTGTCGGTCTCTCGGTGGATACTTAGACTTTTAGGGATTCACTTCGTTGCGGGAACCAAGTTACTCATGTCCCTGGGACGCGCCGGACTTCAGTGTTCCGGTGTTTTCATGGTTGTATCTACTGTAGATCCTGGCTTACAGAAGTTGCAGCGATTTTGGAAGGTTGTGGCTTGCTTGTTCCAAAAAAAAGACTTTTAGGGCATAGCCGGGTTCAATGTAAGTAGTAGTTGTTATATGTATATTGTGTTTTGTGCAGTAGATAATATAGGCAATTATAATTAAACAAAAGCGTTTGAAACCTCAAAAACAGGAAAACAGTGATCTAGTTAGTTACGTTATACATAGAACACCTATGTGTTTAGTTTTAATTTATTTAATATCTGAACACAGTTTGCTGTAACAGAAGAGTAGAGTAGATTTGACATCACCTTTATTCATTCTTGCCGTGGGTGCCGTAAACCCGGCAATAGCGCTCAATGAACGTTTAAAAATTCAACGAATGAATCTCTAATTCATCTGTCAAATGAGAAGACTGTGGCACACCTTCTAATTGTATAGCTGTTATCTTTCTTATTATAGTTTTTAAAGTCGTATGCATGTTTAGTTTTATCTCTGTTTTGTAATTCAAATACTTAACTATTAATTAAAAAACCGACTTCAAATTATTATTAAAAAAACAAAATACCCGACTGCACACTAAAAAAAGAGTAAAACAAGCCCCACAATAATATTGATCAATCAAATGCTAAAAACTAATTATGTAATACCGTTTAAACAATACCTATATTAAAATACACTACAATATGTGTTCGTAATCGATAGTTAAATAAACAGAAACTTATTTTGAATACAAATTTACTGAATATAATTTATAAATGTTGATGGAATGCATCGCAGGCGGGGACCAACAGAGGCTTATTTATAGTCATTTCGGTTGTGCACCATTTAGCAGAATTTTCGTTGGTGGCGGTCAAGGTGGTCCCCGCCTGCGATGCTTTCCATCAACATTTATAAATTATATTCAGTAAATTTGTATTCAAAATAAGTTTCTGTTTATTTAACTATCGATTACGAACACATATTGTAGTGTATTTTAATATAGGTATTGTTTAAACGGTATTACATAATTAGTTTTTAGCATTTGATTGATCAATATTATTGTGGGGCTTGTTTTACTCTTTTTTTAGTGTGCAGTCGGGTATTTTGTTTTTTTAATAATAATTTTTTTATTTATAACTTTTTAGCTGTTTTTATTTCGATATATACAAATAGGGATATATCGAATAAAATCGCTATTTAGAGACGACCGTCAACGACGTGTGCCCTCATGCGTGTGCCCGCAATCGGGCTGTATACTCGAGCATATCCCCCTCCGCACCGCGCCGCGCGCCGCATGCCAGGCCACGCCCTATCTTTTTGCTTGCTAACGCATGAGTTGCTTTGCGTTGACGCAGAATTAACATGTTCCCGTGGGAATTTTGAGAAAAAACGTATCCTATATTAATTACTCCCGTGATTGAAATGAATCTAATGATACCGCATACATATTTTTTTAAAGGGAAATTTAGAAAAAATATTATTATGTCTTTATCCCGTGGGACTTTTAGGATAAAATGCATCCTATGACACTCCCGTAATCAAGACAAATCTAACGATACCTCATACATCAAAATCCATCAAGCCGTTTAGGCTACAGGTGGTCACAAAGGAAAAGACATACATACATACTTACATACACTCGAAAAACATTACCCTCCTTCTTTGGCAGTCGGGTAAAAAACAAAAAGTAAAAAGTAAACTAAAAAGAAAAAAGTAACTATCATTAATACTGATAGGTTACCCAGCCACAGAGGTTAGAAGTCGGCACCATAAGTTCTATACAAAATTATTCACTAAAACCTTAAAACTATAGATACCTAATTTACAATTTTGTGATCATTAAGTTATATCATTATGATATGAGCTTATGGTACCACCTTTTTTGAAGTCGTTAAAAATACGAACAAACAAAACTATGACAAAAAATAACAAATTTATTATGTTTACAAATAATAAGTTTCATTTAAGTATCTAAAATGTATTTGAATAAATTTAAAGTTTAAAAATAAATATTTTAGAAGTTGAATTGAAGCAAACGAGCTATTAAATTTAAATGAAAGACCTGCTTAGCTTAATACACAAAATATTTACTGAAAGTCTGAATCTGACGGATGGGTTTCATCATTTTAAGTTTTGTTTATCTTATTTGATAGGTCAGGGTAGAGCTCATTTCACAAAAAATTCTTACGTGAGAAAACTTTGACTAATGTATATAATACCTCTTGTACAATACATAATGTATTATATACACACCTAATTTGACGACAAATATATCAGTCGACGAGAAGTTCTACAACAAAATGTTACACCTGGTTTTTGTCTTTATGTAGATAGTCACTATCAATGTTATATAGTCGCGGAGAACCTAACGGGTAGCCGGGGCTCCGGCTCGACGTGCAGGAGAAGGAACGGGGTGGTTTTTAGTCAGTAAGAGTCTGACACTCCCTCCCGCCTCACCCAGGCGGGCGCAGTCATTCGATGATTTTCCCCCATTAAAAAAAATAAAATGAATGTTATATATCTAACTATTTTTTTATTTATTATTTAATATGCTTCATGCACAAAATGTACAAATAGGTGGACATAATGCCGCAGGCATTTTCTACCAGTCTGACCTTTGTACTATATATTACTTTGTACGATATAACTATCTCGGTTTCAAATAATTTTAAGGCGTAAAATATCTCAGTAGTACCAGACTTTTGTCTGTAATTACGCCTAGTATATGGCAATAGGCTCACTCCCTATTACATGGGGCATATAACACAAATAGTGAAAAGTGGGTGATATATTATCCAATGGCATTAAGTGCCATAATGTGCACCTCTGCCTACCCCTTCGGGGGTTAAAAGGCGTAATGTTATCTAGGTTTTAAATTGTTAAACTGGCCTTCAGCTAAAAAGCCTAATTTAAAAATACACCTACGTAAAGTCATAGATAAAGTATTAATTTTGAAGTGGATATAAATTAGACAGGTAACACTTTAAACAAATGAAAGAGTATCGACTAAAGGAATCGATTATCGACAAAAATAATTAATTGCGCGTCTCTAAACCAACGGCTAGGGGTTGAAATCAAATCGTTTTAAATGAATCTTCACTTCATCAATCGTTGTCTGCTCGCACACTAATTAATGTGTTTAATGGAGAACAAATATCCAGGGAAGGGTTCCCAGTATTTGTATCGTTTTAGGGATAATTGATAACCTGTCCTTCAATCGAGGGTTGATGGGATTACGCGACGATTACCAAAACTAGAACTAAATATTCAGTAGATTGAAATGGATAAGTGTCTTTGAAGACTGACTGAATCAATGAAAGTGTTCTTTCTATATAATTTTATCAAAATATTTCAAAGCTTGTAGGACTTTTTGATGGATAGTTCTAGGATTATGCATAGGTAAATGGGCTGGTGAATGACCTGATGGTAACTGAACAGTGGCCATAGACAGTCTCAACATTCGCAACGTCAGAAATTTGGGGAACAAACAATCAGGGGTGTTTGTAACGAAATGTAGTACCTAGGCAATGTAACACATCGCGGAGAACATAACGGGTTACCGGGGCTCTGGCTCGACGTGCAGTAAGAGTAAGAGAGTTTTAGTCAGTAAGAGTCTGACTTCTCCCGCCTCACCCAGGCGGAAGAAGTCATACGATGATTTCCCCCCTTAAACTGTCAAACACCAAGCGGTCACCGGTGACCGCAACCTATTGTTCTATAATTGTGTCTACAAAACCGGTACTCGACGAGTTAAAAAAGGGTAATGTAACACAATATAGATAGGTAGGTACCTACTAACATTTTCATAAAAACAACGTATTAGGTACAACATTCGATAAATTTTACTGTTAAAGGAATTTAAACAAACCTAGTATAGGTACGAGAGAAAATAACAAAACTCCAAGTTGACCACATTACCGTTATACTTTTGGGGAAATCGGCGGACCTATTTCCATGTAATTAAAATTTCTGCGGCCGTATTCTGTAAATACGTGGTTGAAACATTAATTTGTTTTGAAGTCCGCAACATATAGAGGTAGGTACCTACCTATATGATACGTATAATTAGACACTTAACAGGTATCTATTGGTACAATTCGTAGAAGAACTGAGTTCTAACTGATGAGTAATAAATAAGATTTAGTCCAAATTGTGTTTAAAAAATTGTCAGTCTGTCGTCACTCGTTTCAGTAATTACCTATTTGTAGCTACATTTTTTTAACTTAAACTCAAAATGAAACGAACAAGTTTTGATATTACCTGGAGGTTTAAGAGGCCCGCTTCTCATGCATGAGGGTGCGGGTTCGAAACCTATCAACGGCAAGTATCTAACAATATTTTTTTCCGAGTATATGTACTTTCTAAGATTATCTAGACACCACTGAAGGAAAACATCGTGAGGAAACCTGTACTTATAATTTCTAATTATAAATCTATAATCGCCAACCCGCATTAAGCATGCGTGGTGATTAATGCTCAAACCATCTCCGTGTGGGAAGACGCTTTGCTCAGCAGTGGACATTTATAGCCTGTTGATGATAATGATGATGATGATATCTAAACACGAAGTGCTAAAAAATCAAAGACTTAAATACCAGACAAATAAGGTGACTGATTCATGGGACAAATGAACTTACGAAGTTTTGAGTAAATAAATAAAATCAGCAAGCACATTTAAACCCTTATATTCTGAAGATAGAGTTCAAATTTCGTCGCACATCACATCTTATCAGGCGAACACTCGAAATTATAAGGGTTTCTCATAATCTGAAGTGCAACCACCGCTGCTATCATTGTGCATATAATACGTATCGCAACCATTGAGTATAAATACTAGATTAATCGATTACTAATCACGTCGATTGGAGTAATAGTTCATTTCTGACTTCGATTGTGTAATAGAAAGTCGCATCAATATGAAACTCCTCGTTGTTTTCCTATCTACCCTGGTGCTTGTTCTTGGACAGGGTGGAGAGGATAAAATTTATGCTGTCGAGCTCGGTAATGTTGAGGAGCTAGGAGATGTTCACCCTCATAAAGTCTACGCTGAAGAGTCTCCAGTTATTCGCGTTTTTGAGCCTGTAGATGATCTAAAAGATGACAGTCCTGCTCAAGAAAGCGTTAATGCAGTGGACAACCAGCCTGCTGGTAAGTTAGAACTAAGATTTTATTTTTGTCTTCAAATCAGTTGAATCACTGATATGTCATTAATTATTTTAAGTTTTAATCAGACAGTGAGGTAAAGCAAAGTTGTTACTTAGTTGAAAAGTAAGTGTCAGTAAACATTTGCATTTTAATATTTCTCTTATAAGGTATATGTTTTTATCAGACTGTCTCGTTGGCCGAGTGGTCTCAAGTGCGACTGCCGGGCAAGGGGTCTCGGGTTCGATTCCCGAGTCGGGCAAAGTATTACTGTGGTTTTAAAAATCTCAGTAGTAGCACGGAGTCTGGAAATGTGCCTGGTATATGGCAATAGGCTCACCCCCTATTACATGGGACTCATAACATAAATAGTGAAAAGTGGGTGTTATATTGTACAGTGGCATTAAGTGCCGAAATGTGCACCTCTGCCGACCCCTTCGGGAATAAAAAGGCGTGATGTTATGTTATGTCCTATTTATTTATCTGCTGGGCAAAGGCCTTTTATCAAAAGCTCAAGCAATGAACCTTTAACACTTACCTACTCAAGGGATTTAAAATATATTTTTTTTACACGTTTATATTAAAAACTCTTTTTTCTATTACAGACCGTGAGTCCGTCCCTCCTTCGTCGTTAATCATTCCGACCATAGTTAAAGCCTGCACCAACTCTGCCTGTGCCTACATCTGCAGTCTGCTTGGGTTCCAAAATGGCGTCTGCATTTCCACTACCACTTGCCAATGTTCCAACTAAATTTTTTATAAACTTTTAAACTCCATTCGAAATGATCCCTTATGGTAATTGTCAGTAAGTATCGTTTTGATGTGAAATTATGAATTTAAAGCTCAATGTACCTACTTATTTTTGTGTAATAAAATTTTTGGATCTTATGAGATTTTGTTTGATTCTTATGAAAAAAAAAATAATTAAGGACGCCATACTTATTTGCATCTCCGTATACATGCCGTGGTGTGGTGTGGTGTCGTGGTGGCCCGGAGGTTTAAGACGCGCGCTTGTCATGCATAAGGGTGCGGGTTCCAATGTGACTTTTTCCGAGTTGCATGAACTTTCTAAGATTATTTAGACACCACTAACAAACGGTGAAGGAAAAACATCGTGAGGAAACCTGGACTTATAATTTCTAATAATAAGTTTGAATTCGCTAACCCACATTGAGCAAGCGTGGTGATTACTGATCAAACCTTCTCCGCGGGAGAAGAGGAGCTGAGCAAAGGCTCAGCAGTGGGCATTTATAGGCTGTTGATGATGATGATATATGCCATAACTTGCAAGCGTAGAACAATTGACTAAGCTGAAATCACTTGATCTTTCACCATACTCATAAACAGAATTTACCAAAACAAACCTAAGGATAATTTGCTCTATAATTACGACAATTCCTCGGGAAAACATAACAAAAAAGGTATGACGTCATAAGGGCAACCTTGGCACCAGATTAATGACCTCGTCTCTCGCGGCCAGGTATCTTGTCCCAGAAAGTAAGAATGATTACACCACTTTTTCTACCTCCACTTTTGTACGCTACCTACTTATAGCGGTATTTAGGTCTTCCTTAGGAATCTCCTGAAAAAATATGATTGTAATTTCTAGGAAGGCAGGGCAGGTGATCTATAAAAACTGGGCTGAGGTGAAGTTAAAATAATTTATTCACTTTTCGTTTACATGTGTTTTTGTAATATCGTATTTATTAGTACTTCCATCCAACAGAGATTGAAATGAAATCCTTTTGTTTCACATTGTTGCTTCGGAAAACCTACAGGAACAGTTACAACATAAGTTTCGTTATTAACAACAGTCTAAGGTTTCGAAAACTAGGTTAAATAGAACCTGATAAGTGTGGGAGAGTCATGTTTCTGCACGAATGGGTCGGCTCGACCGGAGTGATACCAGGGCTTTACAGAAAACCGACGTGAAACAGAGCTTGCGTTGTGTTTTGTCGTGTCAGTGAGGTTACCGAGGCCCAATTACCAGCTTATCCCATAAAATAATATTAGGTATTCAATTAAGTGCACGGTTGTCTTGTAGGTATATTTTAGGTAGGTATATGTGTCAAGCCTAACAAGAGTTGCATAACATAATATTAAGTAAGGAACATATTATGCTGTTGAAATGATTATATAAACCCTTTTTTTGTTATGACAACCAAAATAAACTTCAGCAACTCTAGGTATTATTATTCTACATATAAGTAAAGGTAATGGTAACTTGAAATGTCTATTTCATCATTCGCACACAAACCAACCAACAGTTTGTTGGTAATCGACAATAATTTCTTTTAACGTCAAACGTAATTTTTTTAAATTTTTAATTTTAATTTATTTATTTATATTAATTACAACGGTTACACCAATGACAGCAATTAATTAATTTGTTATAAGACCATTATATCAATATTACAAATACACATGCAAATCCATGTCAACATTAAAAGAAATGACTATTGGAGACAGGCTTTATACATATATTGCCTACGTTTTTATTTGGATCTTTTGAGACGTGTTTTTAAACCGATTAGTGTTAAAGAAAGAAAGCGAAACAAACAAATTATTGTTAACTACATATTAAGTTGGCGTAACCAAAAAACTTCGCGCTACTAACTCGAACCAATCTAACTGTGGAGCAAGTGACTAAACAAAAAATAATCCCTAACAGTAATTTACTACAATTACCAAAGTTAGTAATTAGGTACAGACATGTATCTAGGTACCTTCTAAAGGCTACAGGTATTCGCTATAATCTAAGTCTAGGCAGGTCGGAACTCATTTCACGGCGTCGCGCCAGCAAATTAATTATTTGCCAGCGTTAATTGCGAAGGGCGGGACCGCGGCCAGATATCTATAGTGATTCCTAAATCTAGGTACGGAAAAGTGTGTGGTTACGACACTATAGAACGTTTCTTCCTACTAGCTTAGGTTATACATATGTATATTGCATTTTCATTCGGCTTTTTTATGAAGCTGGTAAAAGACTGCGTCGTACCTAGTTAAAGAAGAAGATATAAATATAACACAGAAGTATAAATTGTAACATTTTAATAGTTTGTGAATTGTAATGCAATGTTTTTTTATTATGTGTGACATACCTGTAAAATTGACATTTATAGAATATTGTGTGTGACATTTATGAAATTTCGGGTTAATTTTGTAACATTTTTTTCTTTTAGAAAATTGTCTTTTAATCTTAATTTTCTTAGAGATAGCAGTATAACAATATTTATAAAGTACCTACATTATTTTTGCACGCCGATGTGGCAGGCAAAATAAGAGGATCTAAGTTATTAGAAAATGACTACTATCTGTACCTTATTTAGGAGAATAAATACATTTTGAATTTTTTAATTTTGAAATATTAAAAACATTAATATTATATCTATGGTAGGTATATACCGATTCGAAGTAGCGGAAAACCTAACGGGTTACCGGGGTTCCGGTTCGACGTGCAGGAGAAGGAACGGGGTGGTTTTTAGTCAGTAAGAGTCTGACACTCCCTCCCGCCTCACCCAGACGGGAGCAGTCATTCGATGTTTTTCCCCCCTTAACACTACACGTTTAACGCCATGGGGGTCACCGGTGACCGGCGTTAGCGGAGGATTTACCTTCAACAGTTTCTTATTGGCAGTCAAAGTATTTATAAAAAATGGTAGGTATATAATGTAGCGGTTGATCCAGCATGAAATAAATAAATATACTTGGTAATTATAATTACCATGGCTCGCAAGTTTTAGTATAAGTAGAGTCAGGCAAAGTATTTTTCAATTCACGTAATACTCAGTAGCAGATCAAAAAAACCTATTACGTAAATAAGGAGAAAGTTACAAGCGATAGAAGTAAAATACGAGATAGAACGAACTTAATTCCCACAGTTCAAAAGAATACCAAATCAATTATACCTTGCATTTAGGTACAGTTTCCCAAAACAAAAATACACAGTACATAACAAAAAAGGTTTTTCGAAACAACAGCTACACCCATTTTGTTTTGAACTCACAAACTCGATTAAATGAAGCGTTGATAAAACGTACTCGTATCTACTGCGGAATTTGTTACGCAAATTGTTAGTAGTTTTGGTGCATGTTGATATTTGGGTAAATGTTTTTATAAAACACCTGAAAATACAGTACCCATACAGTGTAAAGGGAATTAGTTTAAATAGCCAATTTACTTTATCGTCCAGTACTTTACACATGATTGCTGCAAATATGAGATTAATTAATGTTGTAAGTGTTTGATTCTTTGACTGCCTGGCCGCGTGGTCGCAAGTGCGACTGCTGGGCAAGGGGTCTCGGGTTCGATTCCCGAGTCGAGCAAAGTATTACTGTGTTTTTAAAAAAATCTCAGTAGTAGCATGGAGTCTGGAATTGTGCCCGGTATATGGCAATAGGCTTACCCCCTATTACATGGGACTTATAACATAAATAGTGAAAAGTGAGTGTTACATTGTGCAGTGGAATTAAGTGCAGTAATGTGTACCTTTGCCTACCCCTTCGGAGATAAAAGGCGTGATATTACATTATGTTATCTTTTCGGTTCAAAATTGGCTCTCCTGAAACTTTTCACATCTTCTATGTAATGTAATTAATATTATTACAGCATAAATAAGTACCTACAACAGACATCAGATGTCACATTATGCAATAATATGTAACTCAATCAATTAGTTCGACGAAATTAAGTCATGACGTGGCATACAGTGAATTATACAAACAGACAATGGGCGTAAGACGATATGTGTATCAATATTGTATGAGGTGACAAACGTAATTTGTGTCTATGTGTCACACATGTAGCATATACTATGTAGGTGTAGTGTATCAGCCATATAGTGACAGCGGAGTTTTTTTTAATTTTTTTTTAATGGGGAAATCATCGAATGACTTCTCCCGCCTGGGTGAGGCGGGAGGGAGTGTCAGACTCTTACTGACTAAAAACCACTCCGTTCCTTCTCCTGCACGTCGAGCCGGAGCCCCGGTTACCCGTTAGGTTCTCCGCGACTCCGAATCGGCATCGGACCTATTGGGCCCATCTGTGGTGGTCTGATGGCTCTTTCTCCACTCCCTCCCGCCTCACCCGGGCGGGAGAAGTCATTGGATGATTTTCCCCCCTCAAAAAAAAAAAGGTTAGTTTATTTAGTTAGGTTGTCAGTGGTGTCTAACTAATCTTAGAAAGTACATATAACTCGGAAAAAGTCACATTGGTACTTGCCGTTGGTAAATTTCGAGCCTCCGGGACTCCTTGACTTTATAGGTGCTTTATATGGCGTTCAACAGAAACTCTGTTTAAACTGAACTTTATGAACTGCGATCACGAATTAACGTGGACTCAATACATAGTCCTTTTATGTAGAAGAAGTTTTACTGTGGAATGTTAACTGATGATGATGATTATACAGACAATTGTGTTAGTGGATTCATAACAGGGTCATTTCCCTAGATGTGAGATCAACAATGGGTATTATTAAGGTCAAAAAGTAGGCAAAAAAGTAGTTTTGTTTATTTGTCCTTTCTGGGAAAAATAAACTACCACATAACACGGTATATGGAATGGCAATGAATCCATATACCTATTTAATAAATAAATAAGTAAACTCATTTCTGTAAACATGAGGTTGGTAAATTGTCAGAACTGACGGTTAATTATAGCATAGAGATAACCATAGGGATTATGAAATTAATATTGTTTTATATAATACAAAAACCACATTAAGTATTATGTAAATGAGGATAGTATAATTATTTGCGTATTAATTTTATTTATTCTGTTATCAATTTTCGCGTTTAATTTCCTATTGTTTGCTTTAATATTAAATTGTTTTTTAGATGTCGATGTGGTTAGCAAATTGTTATGATTAAAATGTTTATTTTGTTGCTTAGAGA